ATCTATTGCCTAATTCTGTAATCGAAGCAAATGCTAAGTTTTGTTCAGAGGTTGGCAAAGATTCAAATGTAACTTTTTTGCCATCCAAATTAAAAGAACCTCTGAAATCAGGGGTCCCTGGACCACAATGTAAGAATCCCTAGATTTCTAAGGTGCCTTCCAGCTTTAAACTGTGACTTATGTACATCTTGCATGTTGTATCCCTCTGTTAGAATGCAAGCTTCTTGAAGACAAGGATTGTTTCATTTTTGTCTTTTTATTTTCACTGCCTAGTACATAGCAGGCACTTAATAAATATTTGTTGAATTAGATTGAATATGTGGATCCAATCCAAATCTTTTATTTACCTATGCAACCTTCCTGCTTCCAAAAAGGATTTGTGGTAGAACTGGCTAATTGCCAAATCTCTATCACCAAGGGCTAGGGATGTGAATGAAATCAACTCCGATTATCATTTTCTTCCTCACCTAAGTGCTGTGATTGAAATACTTAAGGTGAAGTGGGGTGTGTATTGGGGGAGGTGGCGTGGAGATGCAGAAAATTACCTGGGCTTGCTGTCTGCAGGGAGACAGAGCTGGATTAGAATCAGGGATCTGGAATCCCAGCTATACCATTAACTATTGGTGTGACCTTGAACAAATTACTTAGCTTTGAAGTTTCAGTTTCTTCATCTCAAAAATGAAGGAGTCAGACTAGTAAGTGTCTTCTAGCTCTAATTCCTGTGATCAGAGTATGAACAAGTCTCCACTTTACTTTGGACTGTGTGGACATGTTCTTTGACATGGTGGAAAAGACGTAGGCCTAGAAGTCAAGACCTGAGCTCCTCCATCAGATTAGCTGTGTGACTGCCATTGGGTCATCATCTCATCTTTGGACCTGTTTCTATGTCTGTACAATAGAAACATCAGTACCTCGCCCAGCCTATCTCAAAGGGGGCCTTTTGTGGGTCAAATGAGATCAGATGTGGAAAGAGTTTTGGAAAGCAGCTAAGTACTATGTCAATGAGAGATTATAACTACCATTCCTTGCCAGGCTCATCATCTGTATCCACCATTGGAGTCAGATCCTACAAATGGGGATGTGTGTGTGTAAGGATGGTGAGTTAAAGAAAGGGCAAGTAGCTTAGACCTAGGGAAGAACCCTTACTGGAACTGAACACTTAGCAGTTGTGATTTGTTGGAGACAAGGAAGTGTGAGCCTTTGTCATTACAAAATCTCAGGGAACATCAATCAAGACCTTTTGTAATGCAGAAGATGCCAGGATCTGGGTTCTAGTTCTGACTCTGCAACTATGCCACTGGGCTTTTTGTGACCTTGGGTCATTTCCCAGTCTCAGTATAAAATGGAGGTAGGACTGAATTAATGATCTCTAAGGTCCTTTCCAGTTGTATAATCTTTCGCGGTATAGGAAAGGGAGAATCTCATAGGAAAACTCACTCAAATGCTTTGGTGATGGTGGGGATTGTAAGGAAAAAATATTTATGGCTGTGAGAGCAGGCAGAATGTTCATGATGAAAGGAAAGATGGTAGAGATCTATGTGATGGGGGAGAGAGGGCTGGAGGGTGGCAGGTGGCATCTCCTCATATCACAAGCCACAGAGAGGTGGCCCCTGGGGTACATTCCAGTTCCTGCCCTCTGTGTACAGTCTCTCCTCCCCTTCTCCCAGAACCCATCTGCTTGGAGGAATAAATAAATAAATAAAGCTCCCAGCATACACACCCCAAAGTCTTAGCTTTGCAACTGACTTTGCCCCAACTAAGCTGAGCAGGAAGAAGAGGGTGTTGGGGAGAGAAACCAGCTCCCCTTTGCCTCCCCCTAGGGACCCACTGACACCCTGAAGGAGGAAAGCTTGGTAGGAGTGTTCCCCCTTATTTGTCTATCCTCAGTTACTATCTCACCACCACCAATCCCTCTTCCCCCTCCCCCTCTAATCAGGGCAGGAGACAATGTCTTTCGCTCTCATATTTTAGCTTTCCTCTCCTGGGATGCACCCAGCAGCCCTGTCCCAAGGGCAGGTACCAATCACCACATCCACCCCCATCCATAGGGTCATATGTGGGCTACTCAGAGACACCCCACTCTATTCTGATATCTGACAAAGCTGAAAGGGAAGCTGGGATTCCTTGTAGAAATGAATTTGTTCAGCCACAATCCAAGATCCACACCTATCTGTGGGCTCCTGGAGCTGGTGAAGGAAGGCAGGGAGAGGGATTTTCCTGAGACAAAGGCCATGTCTTCACCAGGGGAATTGGGCTTCTTCCCGGGCAAATCCCAAAGGCATGCCACTGTGGGGATCTTTGTCTCTTCCGTAGTCAAACTGAAGTGATCATGTGGCCGGCAGCATGTAGAGCAGTAATCTGTTGCTCCCCGTATACTCAGCCAAATCGGACTCACTCCTCATTCCACATCAGAGGAAACTGCAGTCTGCTGGAATGCACAACTCAGGCATCATCCAGGTCTCAGTTAGGCAAGCATCACTACCTAGGGGCCACCCCTCTCAATGAACAGGTGCCTCCCCAGACTGCCAACCCAAACAAGCTCTACAGAATCCAGTTGTATCTAGAAAGAGTGCCCTCCTCTGGTACAGTGAGTACCTACATCTGGCAGGTTAGGAAACCCAGTCAGCCGCAGCTGGTCATCTCTCCTGTCCTACCCCAACAGCAAGACTGCAAGAGGAAGAGGACTCCCCTCCCCACCTAAAACAAACAAAACAAATGTGCCAGCCAGATAGCCTCAGGTGCTAATGGAAGAGGAGGCAGGTGATTCCCGCTGGCCTCCCGACTCACTCAAAGGAATGAGCAAGAGAGCAAAGGATTCAGCTCAAAGTTTCCTGATCCCAATTCTGCCTCTCCCATCTCCCAGCCCTCAGCCTGTGGGGATTAGAAGAGGGTGCGATCCTAGCAGGAGCCTCAATGTTCCCCTAGTCTGAGCCTCTCCATCCCCGCCCCCTTACAAATCACACCAGCCCACACGAGAGAGGGAAAGGGAAAGGAGGGAGGAGCTTGGAACTGTGAATGGGACGCTGCTGCGGAGCCCACATCGTCAGGGAACTGAGGCAGTCCCTTTAGATAAGGGGTGGGGGGTGAGGGGGGCGATTCCTGATGGATTAAGGTTTTTCCAGCCAAATTTCTTTACGAGCTCCGTTACCACAAGCTACCTCTTCCTCCGTCCCAAATCAACCTCCTCAGCTTCACTTCTGTTATATGGGGCAAGGTGGCCCCATCTCCCCTCGTTTTCCCCCAAACCCCCTTCGCAGTTGAAAGCTCTGATGCCTTGGGCAGCTGCCCACAGGCTTAATTCTTAGGTCCTCCCTGTCGCTCCCAAAGCCACCTTTCCCTATGACCGTTTATTCTCTCCCCCTTCACAGGCCATCGGACTAAGTGGGAAGGGCCTTCCCCACCTTACTAAATAGGGTGGGGGAGGACTTTTAAGCCACTTTAAAAATTCTCCCAGTCTTTGGCTTAGAGGGAAGGTAAAGTATTGAGGGCTTAAGGTCCCTGCACCTCCAGAGAGGCTGCAGGGGGGAGGCGGGAGAAGGTGGGTAATCGAACCTCTTCCTTAACTGGCAATCATCAGACGCTAGCCTGCCACTGTTGTGCAACTGCACTCCCCCCACCCCCCGAAGAAGACAGGAATGGGGGTACCACCCTCCTCTCTACAGCTACTTTCCCGTGCAAGCCTCTCCTCTTCCCTCCCCCATCGCCCCCGCCCAATCTCCGCTCCAGCCGCAGCTGGCCTCTGGGCACTGAAAGTTGGCAGCCGTGGCAGCAGCGGCGGAGGCTGCCCAGGGAGTTCCAGAACGACCATTTCATACCCCTACCCCCATCCCCAGACAGACCCATCAGTCCACTCTCCCGGCTTCGAGTTTCCCTATTCTGCCCAGAGGCCCTTTCAGGACCCTCGAGCGATTAGGGGTAGAGCCAGGACGAGAGAAGATCGGAGCGAGCTCAGAAGCCTTTGGGGCTACCGGGCAGCGGCACTCCAAGTGCCTGCGATCCGCGGCAGGCAGGCAGACAGGCAGGAAAGAGCCCTGGACTCTACGAAACGAGCAGCCACGCCGGGACCCAGCCAGAGCCAGAGACGTTGATCGAGCTCAGGAGAGAAGACAAGCCCCGGTCGAATCTGCCGGCTCAGTGGGGAGCCCCAACAAGTCCTCCCAGAGGGGACACCGACACATAACGCGTTTTACATACACCCTCTGCCACAACACGCAACACGGTACAAGAGAGCACACCCTCACACACCCCCTTCCAAACGCACACACTCCTACACGCCCGGATGCACCCATCCCTCATTCTTCTGAATACACACTGGCAGTCCCCCGAGACACACACACAAACACACACACACACACACACACACACACACACACACACACACACTATCCCCCAATATACATAACCCCGAAGCCAAGATTCAGACACTCACCTCCCAATGCACCCCCGAAACAGCCCAACAATCTCCACTCATATTCAAATAGAACCCCAATCATACTGATTCACACACACACACACACCCAGTATATAAACTCTGGAACATCCAGATATACACGTTATCATACAGCTCCAGAATAACCCCACAGAGTAGCCACGCAGACACATACACGAAAATAGACACTGACTCACATGTATACTCACCTAAACACACACACACACACATACACACACACACACACACACACACACACACACACACACACACACACCCTCGCTCCTGAATCCCTACGTTCCCATCCCTAGGTCGAGACCCATCCAAATCCAGACACATGCCCCGGCAAGCGGACACACACACACACACACACAAGCGCAAACACTGACACACAAGAGCCCGTGAGCGCGCGCGCGCACACACACATACACACTAACACAAGCACACACCGCGCCCCTCCCCAGACACCCCGGCGCCCGGAGCAATCCCTAGCTCTGCCCCGCCATCCCGCGCGCTCTGTGGCGGCTGCAGCCGCAGCAGCCCCCGGGCCGGGAAGGCGCCCGCAACTCACCCAGAGCCAGGTCCAGGAGCTCAGCGAGCAGAAGGCAGACACGCGGGCAGTTCATGGCTCGCATGGTGGCCCAGGGGAGGAGAACGAGGAGAAGGAGGAGGAGGACGAGGAGGAAGAGGACGAGGACGAGGAGGAGGCGGTGGCGGCGGCGGCCGAGGCGCCCCGCTCCATCCGGCTCAGGCGTTCTCCCGCCGCCCGCTGCCGGCCGCCGAAGCGCCGAGGGACGCGGGCAGGGCGGGCGCCGCCGGGCGCCGCCGGGGCTCCCCCATCCTGCCCTCTCTGCCCACCCCTCCCCGGCCCTGTGCCTGCAGCTGCCGCCGCCGCCGCCGCAGGAGGGAGCGGACCCCGGGAGGCTTGGCTGAAAACGGGAGGGGAGGCGGAGCAGCGACACCTGGCTCGGCTAGTCTAGCCTCGGCTCGCTGGGGCTCGGCTCTGCTCAGCCCTGCCGGCGGAAGAGAGAGGGAGCTGGAGCGCAGCCCCAGTGTGCGCCCGTAGTCCGGGGCTCGGGCTGGCTCTCTAGCTACTGCGAAGCCCGCAGCAGAGTCCAGACCAGCAGCTCGGAGTTTGGGAGCGAAATCGCGCTCTCTTCACTCCCAGAGAGAGCGAGAGCGAGAGCGAGCGCCCCCTCCCCCTTTCTCTCTCACTCACTCGCTAGCTCCATCCCTCCCTCCGCCCCCTTCCTCTCTCTCTGTCTCTTTCTCTCTGTCTCTCTCTCTCCCCTCTTCCCTCGCCCCTTCCCCCTTCCCCCTTCTCCCTTCCCCCTTTTCTCCCCCCCCCGTATTATATAGACTTTTCTTTAATCCTTTCTGGGCTGTTCTGCTATCGTCCTCTAAGCCGATTTATTGCTGCGAGAGGGAGAGATCCTCCCCCCGACCCTTCCCCTTCCCTCTTCCTCCCCCCCACCTCTTTTCTTTTTTACTTTCCTGGGTTTGCAGTTTTTTACTTCTTAACCCTTCCCCGGCTGACTAAGGGTTTCTCTCACCTCCCCTTCCCTGACTCCCCAGCGCAAGCCCTTCCCCCTCATACACCAAAAGCCCGAACTCCAGGCCGCGGGTCACCCTGGGGCAGGGAGGCAGAGAGAGAAGGAGAGTCTGTGGCCAGGAGAGGGAGGCATCACAGACGGAGAGAACTGCACAGGTAGAGACTACGAAAAACAAAAAGGACCCTGAGGCAGGCAAGCAAAGGGGAGAATGCCTGCCTGGTCTTCCAGTCGGCACCGTCCCCGCAAAACACACCACACACACACACACACACACACAACACACACACACACACACACACACCATAGAGGGAGGAGGCTCAGAAAGACCCTCTTTCATCACATCGGTCAAGCCATCTCTTGCTTATCCATTTGGATTGGGATTCCACTCTGCCCAGTGCCTTGTCTATTCTGTGTTACCTTCAGAAAAGATTCTGGAAGTTCTGTATCTGGAGAAACCACCTAGCTCAATCAATCTTCTTACAGATAAGTTCAAGCCCAACCAAATCCATGAGCACTTACAAAGTGCTATATATGTGAAGTGCTATGCGAAGTGCTAATCATTTTACAGATGAGGAAACTTCATTTCAGAGGAAGGAAATGACTTTTCCAAAGTCACACAAAATTTGATAGTCCAGTGTCACTCTTAGATTGTACCCTCTCCAACACTAACCTCCTACTTCCCTTTAATAGATATCACTTGAGCTTCACCTGTTGGCAGGTGGCACTTTCTAGACTGGGAGAATGAAGGCATATGGTCACACCTTCCCTGAAATTTAGAGATATGAGTGGGAGAAAAAGGTAATATAAATAATTGGGTGAAATGAGTTTAATTCTGTGATCATGATTCTAAGAGACAGAAGGTCCTTTAGGTGTCAGGAAACTGAGGCACAGAGAAGATTATGTAACTGGAGTTTATCTAATTAATGGTACAATCTAGAATCCTGGTTCCCTAACCCTTGTTCTTTCCAACAGAATAGCTCTGGATCTTCTGTCAGAGGCCTAGATTATGGGATCATTGACATATGGAAGGGATCTCTGAGGTCACCTAGTTCAACTACTTCCTTTAGAGATGATGAAAATGAGGCCCAGGGAGCTGGTGACCCAAAGTCACAAGGTCAGAGCTCCAAGTCAGAGGTAGGCCTTGAACACAGGCCATCTTATTCCACTCTTTCCACTGTGCCAAAATCCCATTATCCTCAACCTGTCAGAGGAGGCAGAATTGCCAGTTTCTGAAGCTTTGTCCTATGTACCTGTATAAGGCTGTTCCTTAGTTTACCCATATGGATTGATAAGATTTAGAATTGGAAGGGGCATTAAAGTCACACAGGTAGTGTCAGAGGCAAGATTTGAACACAGAACCCCTATCCATCAGAGTCAATACTCATTCCGCTGTACCATACTGCCTCAACTGGATAATCCTGCACAACTTCCCTCATTATAGAAATAAAGAATCTGAATCCCAGAGAAAGAAATTAATTTGCACAAGCTCACATAGGCCCTAAGTAGCAGAAGCAGATTTTGAACCGAGATCATAGATAGTAAGGACCCTACAGGTTATGTAATTCACCCCTTCCCCCTTATCATTAAAGATGATGCAACTTGTCTGAAGTCTCAAAGATAGTTTTCCTAGCAAAGCTAGGATTCAAGTCCATGTCCTCTGACTTTAAGTCTGACTGTCCTTTCACTCTGCTACATTCTAGTAACTCTGGATCCATGGTTCCTTGCATTATTCCAGGCATGGGGAAGGATGAAGGACTCTGCCTTGGCATTCTCCAAGAACTCAGTGGGTGGGGCCTGGAGTCAGTGGGGAGCCTCTGGCAGACCCAGGTGCATGACTAGTATCATAGCTCAGGGGGTGGGGGAAGCAGATGCCAATCTGCGGGAAGCTGCTTCCACTCCATGTTAGGGCTATGTCATCAGAGCATCCCCCTATGGTTGGTGTACTGCTGCATCGTGCCTCGGGAAGGCAGGAGGGAAGGACCAATTTGCATTTATGAAGATTTGAAAGCACACATTTGCCCGACAGGCTTTAGAATGATCCTCTCAGTAAAAGAATAATAATGATCGCAATAAACCCTTATAAATAGGTGTTTGATTACAGTTTGTCCCTACGTGGAGTTTTTTTGAACCAGACTAATTGCTTGCCTGTTTGATTGGGCTCCCAGCGGTTCAGGTTCAAGAATCTTTATACCTCTCTCAGTTTTTACCCTCACTATCCGTTACCCTTGTCACTTCTTTCTTTTTCTATCTCACTCCTCCCCCCACCATAAGAAAGATCTGCTTGAACAATTGGTCCAAGTTCCTCCAGCTGTGTTTTGGGGAGGGGCAAATCTATTGATATTCTGATAGCTCTGCTCCAAAGACTAATAATAATAACAACAACAATAAATTACCAGATATGCGGCACATTTGCGGCACTTTAATGTGACTTAGAACTTTACAATTCACAAATTGTTCTCCATTCATTATCTTATTTGGACCTTCCAAAATTCCTTTGTGCTAGGTAGTACAGGTGTCACCTATTTTATATAGAAAGAGCCTCCATTACTCCTCTTTTGAGGCCTGGAGACCTCTCCAGATTCACTTCCAGACAATTCCTTTTTAAATTTTTTTTTTCTTTTTAGGCAATTGGGATTAAGTGACTTGCCCAGAGGTCACACAGCTAGTAAGTGTCAAGTGTTTGGTCTGAGGCCAGATTTGAACTCAGGTCCTCCTGACTTCGGGGTCAGTGCTCTATCCACTGCACCACCTATCTGCCCCTAGACAAATCCTTTTCTCTACCTGTGCCAGCAGCCTAGTTACCCCAGAAACTAACATTGCCTCTGTGGCCTCCTCATCCTTGTAGTTCACTCCACCCCTTTAGCTCTTTCCTCTGATTGGTCAGTTCCTCTCAGAACCTCTATTTTAAGGAAAGTATCCAGGCCAATGCACGGCATTGCTCTCCAGACTCCACTCCTGAGTCTTTAGACTTTCTCCACTCCCCCCCACCTCCTCCTCTGCTTTTTATCTTCTTTTTCCGTGTTTTCTTCTCTCCTTAGAATGTAAGCTTTTTGAGGGCAGAGACTATCCTTACTGCTTGCATTTGTATCCCCAGCACTTAAAACAGTGCCTGGTATACAGTAAGTGCTTGATAAATGCTAGTCAATTTGACTTGACCCCAGATACTTGAAAGTTGTGTTTTTGAATCCCAAACTCTGGCAGGTCCCATGAAGCTGGAAAGATTCCAGCTACAAACTGTCACCTGATAACTTTACTAGTTTAATTCAGAAGCTCAACTCAGGGTAGCCATGGGGTAATGCATTTGAGGGATGTAGCAACTCGTAAAGAATGGAAGAAGAAACAGGCTGCAATTATAGAAAGGATATGCACAATAATCCACAACTAGTAATGAGCCAATTCTACTAAAGTTGACTATTCTTTCCACTACCCCATGCCTCCTTTCAGGTAGGTGAGGACCATACCTAGAAGGTCAGGGTTCTGATATCAAAAGTTCAGGACATTCACCCTCAGCCTAACCCTCAAAAGTGACATTGTCTTCTCGGCCATTAGGTAAACAAGTGAAACATCTCTGAATAGAAGCTCTGATATTCTTGAAACCTAAATCACCCCTTCATAATCACTCTACCCTCTCAACTGTAAGTCAAGATAAAACCAAGTACAACCACAGGCTACAGTTCCACCAGATGAGTCAGAGGGAAGGAGAACTTCTACTGAAAGACAAATTATATCTGGGACAGCTCCTAAGCATAGAGCCTGGCTCTGACATAACTCAATGGTGAATGGCTGAGGTATTACAAGAAAAGTGGGCTCTGGGCTCAGCAGGTGTCCACCTGGGTGTGCTCTACCGTGGGCGGATCAAACTAAGAATGTGGTGCTCAGTGATGAACGACCTCATTTTAGGAAAGATGTGGTTAAGTGGGACAGCAATCAGAGGAGGGCAAGCAGGAAAGGTCTCAGAATCATGAAGGATTGGTTAAAGGAATGAGTGATGCTGATAGGTAGCTAGGTGGCTCACAAATTGGACTTAGAGTCAGGAATGCCTAAGTTCAGATGTGAACTTAGATACTTACTACCTATGTGACCTTAATAAGTCACTTAACCTCTGTCTGCCTCAGTTTCCTCTTCTGTGTAATGGGGATAATAACAGCACATGCCTCAGAAGGTTCTGAGGATAAAAATTAGTGTTTGTAAAGTAATTTGCAAACCTGAAAGTGTTATATTCATGTTATTTTTTGTGGTGATTATGGTGTTTAGCCTGGAGAAGTCAAGATTTAGAGATAGTACCTGGAGTTCTACCTTCTAGTCTTTAGAGGGATCAGAGACTTCAGACTTATTCTACTTGGTCCCAGAGATAAAAACCAGTAACAATGGGTAGCAGTTCCAGAAGACACACATTTTAGCTCCATGTGAGAACAAAAATATTGCTGAGTTTTTTTCCCCGAAAGTGAGGTGAGTTCCCTCCAGAGGTGGGGAGGTCTGGAGATCCCTGAGCAGAGGCCGCTTTTCAGGGAGATGGCAGAGAACACTCCCATCAGTTTCTGGTTGGATTAGATGCCCTGTGAGGTACACTTCTGTTGCTGAGCCACTAGGGTTCTGATACCAGGGGAGAGGTTCAGAGAGGAAGGTAGGAAGCCAAAGAA